TACCATACCATGATATATAATGCAATCTATATAGAGACTGAAAAATACATGAAGCTTCTTTATGTTTTACAAACTAATTTTGACTTCTTCATGCATCAGGAGCTATGGTGTGTGTGTCTCATTACTAAGAGTAAGTTTTACCCTGCCCAGTATGGTGCTGTACTACTGCTTGAGCTAGCTTTGTGCTTTTCTTACAATGTCTGATATTCATGCTACATAGAGAAAGCACAATCAGTTGAAAAAAAAAAGACATTTTTTAACTGATCTGTTGTGGTAGATATTTTTCCTTTTTAATCTTGTGACATTGCCTATTTGCTCCTAGCTGGTTTTCTGTTTTTAATCTAATAATATTATGGTAAGTAATGCCAAATTTGTCTAGAATACACTAAAAATATTCATGTTGTGAAAATTATTTGTATTAGACATCTACTATTAATATTGTTGCTATTGTGTAAGAAGCTTAAGGAAAGAAGGCATCTGACCTGATAAATGTGAAAATAATAAAGAAACATTTTTAATAGGAAGCATTTATTGTTATTCTGAGCTGCATATTCTATGTCTCTTGTGCCAAGGTGCTTGTTTGACATGCGTTCTACTTGTATTTTGCACTCTGCTATGTTTTCAGCCTGTAAGAAATTCATAGATTAATTTTCTCATTAATTATTTGCTAGTTTTTTCTCCTGAGGTTTTAAGTTCTACCTACGTTACAACATCTAATTATCTGTACCTAGGTTGCATGTGGCCCTTGAAAAACTACACGTGTCACAGTCGCTATAGCAATCCAGTGTTGATACACATTTTTTTGTCACACATACTTAAGCATAAGTGTGTAGGATTGCATTCTCTTTTAAAGTTGCATTCATTGCCTCCTTTTTATATAAAGTGCTGGATGTACCTTCTTTAATTTCCTTTTATATGCGTGTATAATAGACAAAATTTAGAAAAATTAGTTCAGGAGAACTAGTGAGACTGATTTTTATACAAGATCACAGATCTGAGGCTCTTCTTGGGAGTATCAGATAGAGAGCAGAAAACTAACTAAAATGTATATAGTGGGGTAAACACAAAAGGATCATTATATTCAGATTTCCTTTCCAAATAAAATATGGGATTTAGAGGAAATTAAAGGGATGAGTTGTGGGTTGATTTTTATATATTTAGATCTTGATAGAATATTGTATTTAAAAGAAGTAACTTCTGTTTTATTCTATTTTTATTTGTTTAGTGCCAGTTAAGAGTTGTCAGGCTCCAAAAATCACTTTCTGTGAAGATTTAACTTTCCAGGCATGTTGAAATAAAACATGGTTGGTTTTTGACCAGTAATTTTAAAATTATTCCATATCAGTTTATAGATTCTAAATAATGTGTCTGTGTATAGTTTATGGCTGTTTCAAGCAAGTAGGGAGATGGGAAGGTTAAGGGCTGTAGCCATAGGGGACTGGGAAGTCTTGAAAATAAAAAGGCTACATTACAATTACTTAATTTATTTTAAAAATTGAATACCACTTCAAGTACCCATACTGTATCTTGAATTTTGGCAGGGCTTTGTTCTTTGCTATGAAACTTCTGCTTACATACAGAACTGCTCAGGAAGTACTTCATGCCTGCAAAAGCTCAAGTAAAGCTATCATACAATTTTGATCCAGATTCATACTGGAATTTTATTAGGCACAGTATCACTTTGTTCACAAAATTGTCCTTGTTAACTTCGTTAGGCCTTGATTACTTTTCACTGAGTCGTGAAAGGCAGAATGTTTCTGGAGTTTCTAAATGTTTTTGTCTGAAACTTTCTCCATGAAGACCTTTGCTTATTGGCAAATTTGTACATTTTAACTGAAAACCAAAAATCAGGCTTTTTTACAAAGGGACTTAATATCATTACCATTTGGGAAAAAATGAAATTTAAGAGTTCTGTAAATATGAAATTGTTTAACCTAAAACACTACTGATGTTTTTGAGGGAATAAAAGCAAAAGGGTTTAGTCTATAGTAAAAAGCAGTGTGGATTCTGAAATGTTGTGTTACTGATTTGTTCTGAAGCAGAATTGAAGAGGAAATGACACCTTGCTCTTCATGGAATAAATGCCCAAGTTGGATAAAAGTTGCCTTGGGTTTGTCTGCTCTAGGGTAACTAGTGCTGAGGTTGAGAGACAAGAAACTTCACACTGCTATGTTCATTAAATATGCTCATTCTCTGCAACAGCCTTCAAATACCCATATCAACATACTGTTACTAAAGATCACATGTTGATTGGTTTGCTAAAAATGACCATTACTGATGCAACAATGTGCTAATGCTATGTGATGCTGTTCTGTGCATTTTCATTAATAACTGATACATATGGAGTCTTTTAAATTGGAGAAAATTGAGGAGGATTAAAAAACTGGTGAATTTAAAATGGTTTTAGTTATATAATGAGGTTTCGTAAGGTCCACAAAGGATTTATGAGAAATTATAGCTAATACTGTCAAGCACTGAAAGTAGCTTGGTGTTGATTAAGCTTAGTATCTCCTTGTTCTATTGTGTAAAAGTTCTTGGACTTTTCAGTCAAGTATTTCTATCCATTCCTGTGAAGTTCTGTTGGAGACATTTATAGTTTTGAAAGCAAACTCGGGATTAGTAGGCTTTGGTCATTTTTAGTGTTACATGATATCCGTAATGTGTTAGGTGAAGGATATCAGAGCAGGTTACAGTGTACAAATTTTAGAATTAATACTAAAAATCTATCAGTAGCCCTCATTTTTTTTCCTTATTTTATTCCTGTTTAATTCTTTATTCATCTTAACAATTCAGGCATATACCCAATATCTTTCTGTGTGCCAGAAAGCTGTCTTGGATTATACAAGTCACTGGGGAGATGTTATTTCTCTGGAGGCCAGTGGTGCCAGCTTTCTATTAGGTCCATCAGCATAAAGTGGGTACACTCTGTTCCACTTAGCAGTGTATGCTGGAAAGCTCGGGTAATTCCTGAAATGCCTCAGTGCTTTGAAATACAGATTTCTCCTCACCACTCAGCAAGAGAAGCTGTCTTTTTTCTTTTTTTTTTTTCTTACCTTTAAACTATATTCAAGTGAGATTAAATGCATGTATAGAGTGTTTACAACATCAAAAACAGGTAACACACACACTTACAAAAGGTGCAAGTGAAGATAATGAACTGCACTTCAGCTTTAAGATTTTTCTCATTTAATCTCACTGAAGTGGATTTTTTCCTATCTGGATGACTTTGTAGGTCTCCATTGGTAGAGCAGCCATGTGAATTTCCCTCTTTGTGTGCCATGTACCTGAGATTGCTGCCTTAAATAGAGCTTTCATCACAGAATTTCTGTCTTGGTAGCCCTGGCAGAAAAAAAAAATATTTATATCCCAAATGCCTCTTTTAAGTGGGGTGATGAGCAGCTTTCATCCTTCACTTACCCTCCTTACTTCTGGCTAGAGCAACTGTCTAGCTATACGTGTTTCTTGAGCTAGACAGCATCCTTTGTACTTGACTGGCAAACTAGCAAGTTCTTATCCCTAAGAGGAGTAAAACTTTTGCTTTTCCTTCTAGTGATTGATACATATCTCAGTGTGAAGTGTTACACTGATTCTTATATTCCCTCTAACTCTGCAAGTTAACAGACATAATACAAGTACTGGTTGCTCATTACTGGCTCTGGATTGAGTACAACAGGGTAAAATTGTAGTTAACCAGTGTGAGGCAAGTGACTTCTGGTATTTTACTCCTTGTTTTACTGTAATATTTTTCAATAAAAAGAATCTGGTAGAGGAGTCCTTCTGTTGTCCTATTTTTTTTTTTTCTATATTTGTGTGTCTGAAGACAGCTGAAGTTAGGTATGATATTGCAAAACTAATTGGGGTATATCACCAGGTAGAAGGATGGTTTCCTCCTGCTGCTGATTTTAACGGGAAAATAAGAGCAAGTTAAAGGACAAAATACTATCTTGAATGGTCAAGAATCTTGTTTCTTTTTGTTGTGGAACATGTGTTGTCTTCTGCTGTACAAATTCAGGAAAGAGGGGATGTGTAATAAACTGGGGTTTTTTTCAGTGTGCGTTGAAACTTCAGATGTTCTCACAATTCTAGTTAAATGCATCTTTTCTTTATGGGGTATTGCAGTTTGATTCACTGTTCCCTCCACTGTTACCTCAGATAATTCACAACCAAGTCTGTTACTGTGATTGCAAAATGACAGATGAAAACTGTGACTGCTGTTTGGGTTATGCCGTAAACCAGCACTTCAGGACTGTTAAAAAAAGGTCTGAAGTATGTTAGCAGTATTTTGACCTTGAGATATACCTGTGAACATTTTTAAGAGTCATGTTACTGTAAACCTGTTATTAAACTTTGGGACTGAGTCCTGTGCCCTGGGCAAATTAGCTGGATATAGTTCACATAGCCACTGTCCTACCTGTTTTTTTCAGTATTTCTGTTAGAGCAGGGTCAACAGAAATCAACATGTCGCTTGACTTCAAAACTACAAGAGAAGTTGAGAAATGTAGTTATGTAGTTATATACTTTGCTAAAGAAAAGTAGTTTTTTACAAAACTGACTTGAAGGGTACAAAAATATTTGTACTTTCATGTCATAAAGAAAACATAGATGTTGTGAGGGGTTTTAACAGATAAAAACTGACTTGAATAGGGATTGGGTCTTGTTTATGATAAAGTGTATATAATATTATATGTGTAAGCGTAGCAATGTAATTATGTCAAGAATCTGTACAAAGTGTTGCAGTCTGTCTCATGCAGAAGGCATGGTGCTGCATTTGTTTGTATTGCAATAGCTTCTAAGAGTCTGAGATGGAGCTTGAATTTCTAATGTGATACATACTCTACAAACACATAAAAGCATTGTTTCAAAATTTTTGTGGCATATACTTAAACATCTTAAAGAATCTTTTTCAGGTATCCTAAAAAGAGCTTCTAGTTTTAATTTTATGTTATAACTTTCACTTTGCCTAATACTCACGCTGATTACGGTATAAATTTCCTTTGCAG